CGTTGACATTCTGGGCCTGATTATTTTTTGTCATCAGAGAAGAAAAAAAAGAAACATTACGGGCCCTTCATTTTTTAATTTGCGCAACAAGGTATTCGCGTGGATCAGGTTATCTTATTGGACCCTCCACAAGGACTTTACGTGGATCAGGTAATCTTATTGGACCCTCCACAAGGACTTTACATGGATCAGGTAATCATATTGGACCCTCCACAAGGACTTAACGTGGATCAGGTAATCTTATTGGACCCTCCACATCAAATATCACTTTTATCGAAGTTCCAACTTCGCAACACGATACCTATAATTCAAAGAATCTTTTCCGGTCAACATATACCATTCTGAAGACTTATTTATCGCTAATCCGCCTTATTTTAGCCTAAATCCTTCTTATATTTGATCGTCATCCACTCAGCGTGATATAAAATAGTTAGAAACGTGCAAAAATGCTTTACCAAAATGGGTTCTGAAATTAAAAATATGCTTTAGAACTTAAAAGTCTTTTCTCGGTTGAAAAAAAGTTTTTGTCTTAATTTTAAACACTACCTTAGGTTATGAACATACGAAAATATTCCTTTTCATAGTGGGTAGTATTTTTTTTTTTTGGTTGTCAATGCCAAGACTGTTTTTAAAAATAAGATCAAAATATATATCGATTATATTAGTAGATAATGGTAGCTTAGGTTGACCTTCTGGAAATAATCATTTTAATGTCATCATAGAAGAACCAAAGAATTTCAGGATGTTGATGTTTCAACTTGATCAACACGGATTTACGCAGATCAGATGGTTATCTTGTCTTTACTGAAAAGAATTGGCACCTCCGTATCACATATGACTTTTATCGAACGTCCGCATTTACAGTGTAATAGAGAAAATAAAAAGAATTCTTTCTATACGACAAATATCCTTCTGAAGTTTTATTCCTCACTAGTCCGTTCTATTTTAGTCTATATTCCTTTATTTGAGAGTCGGCCATTCAGTGTGGTATACAGCAACTAGAAAAAGTGCAAAAATGTTTTACCAAAATGAGTCCTGAAATTAAAATTATGCATTACACGATAGATTTAAAAATATCTGACATTTCTCACCTGAAACTGGAGGTCTTAGACTTTTCACACAGTTATTTAGAATAGTAAATTCAATTGATGACTTCGGTGTCGAAAAATATTAAAATATATAATTTCACTTCAGGTCATCCATTAAATATATCAACTGCTGAACATAAGAAAATATTCTTTTTCACGTCGGGTAGTGCCTTTTTTTTTTTCGCCTTTCAAGGTATTAGATGACTTTAAAAACGAGTGACATGTCGATATGTTTAGCAACAAGATGGCGGGACAGACGTAACCTGACAAGCGTTACTAAATGACTCGGAAAGGTAGAAGAGGTTATAAAAGGACAAACATTGCCTGCCGTTGAAATGTACAGCGACTTAGGGAAAACCCTATCTGCCACCTCTTGAAGTGACATATGTTGAAATTTTTGGGTACCTTGGTGTACATTTTTTTTTTTAAGCGTTTCACCCCAAGCAAGGCGGAAAGCCACTTGGACGCAAGGGGTTACAGAAAACTTGGAACAAGATCAGATAGGAGTGATAGAAGAAAGGATGAGGAGAAGGGTAGTGGATAGATCAAGGCAACTGGAGATGTCGATTGACATTACATTTGAATAGCTGGAGATTATAGCTCTCAGGGAAACTGGAATAGGGAAGGGAGTTCCACAGGCGAGAGTTGAAGAGACATGAAGCTATTGGAGTAAAAGAGACGGCTACATTTAACAGTTTCGACAGTGAAAGGGTGAGAGCGGGATGCTAGCCTCGTAGGGCGCTTGAACTCATGAAGTCTGGGAACCAGCGAATGCAGCTCCTCGGAGCAATTGCCATGAAAGTATTTGTAAAATAGACAGAGAGAGGCGACGGCGCGTCTGTGAGAAAGTGACTGTAGACGAGATGCCAGAGCAGGGCCAATTATATTGCATATCCGCCTCTGGAGCCTATCAAGAACCCCGAGGCAAACAGAAAGGGCTCCAGACCATATATGGCAGCAATACTTCATGCAAGGGCGAATTGTTGATTTGTAGATCTGGAGGATCGATTCCGGGGAGAAAAATCTTCTGGCGCGGCACAAGGAGCTAACTTTCCTTGTGGTGGACGAAGCTAGTGAGCCAACGAAAATGAGCTGACTCATTTTATAGTTCACCAATAGAGGAGTTAACCAATCAGAAGGCTCAAAATATTCAATGCGACGTGTATAAAGGCGGTCATATTTTTCCCGAATATTGATATCGAAGACTGAAGAATTACAGAACAGCTGCTGGTGGTACTGGCGATATAGTCAGATTCAGTAGAGTACTTGACTCGTGAGTATTAAGCTTTAACGTTGTTTTATTGAACAGATTACGTACTGCGCTGTATTCTCTATTCATAGACTATGGTGAACATGATGAACAACATACATACAATGCAATAAATAGATAGACGACAAACATCGTGTGGCAG